CAGAGAGTCCAAAATATATGTAAAGTGCCAATTATGGGATGATTTAATCATCGGAATTTATAAAAATAGAAGTAGTAGTTGTTGAGAGAATATGAAAGAGATGCTGGTTCTGCTGTGAGTGACTAAATCCCACACCCATACCCAAAGCAGTAATTGTTTGGTTTTGCAGAAGTAGGTGTGTTGGGGGCTGCCGGGGCGGGGGGGGTGGTGTCATGCCACAAAACAGAATAAATAACTTCATACTTGAGAGAACCAAAGAGAATACAGCAGCAAGATCACCAATCTTAGAGAACAGGTGAAGATAGTCAACAGGTGAAGCAAGGGACAGTGGCCTCCACAGATAGAGTTAGCTGTGAACTAGTAACCAACAGGCTAATATTTATGAATACTTGTATAATAGGCTGGTACTCTTGTTTTATCTCATATTTAATCTCCACAGCACCCCGGACATGCCAGTACTATTATTCCCTTCATCTGATGCATAGGGATCCTGAGTCTTAGGGAAGATGAGCAAACTAAGCCCATATGTTACATGAAGGTAGATCCACATTTTGAACTTGGGTTTATCTCACGTCAAAGCAAGGTTTTATACAACTTCACTGAGATATGCTATCTGCTTTTCAAAAGTCATAACAGTCTACTTTTATTGGTGACTTTGCTGTTTATAGAGTATTTTAATTCTGGTTGAAGCACATGCAATTGCCATTTTTTGTATGTAAAAAAATGGTGAAATACTGGCAATATTATATTTCAACACATACTTTATTCCTTTGAGTCAGACAGTAATTTCATTTGGGAGTTATGAATATGACTTAAATTTGAGAAAACTAAGGACAAGAAAAAAAATAAAAGATTAAAAAAAAAAAAAGAGTATTAGCAACCAAAAGATTAAACGAGGGAAGAAGCATTTTGTCACTGCCCAGGCTGAATTCATGCTATTCAACCATCTCTGTGCTTCTTGCCTTCCTGTTTCTCTTTTTATGTGAATACCTTCTCTCCTTTTCACCTCCGTGCTTCACACTCTGATGCAGATGTTTTTCTCCCATAAGATTTCCCAAGTCAGTGGAGTCTATTGAGAGCTCAATGTCCTCCAGACTCCATTCCATGGGTCACCTACCTCTTTCTCTAGGATATGCTATTGTCTTAATGATTTTAATTCTTTTGCACAATTGCTGTCTTTAACTTTGGAGCCACGTTACAGGTTCCCTGTGATAACTCCCTTTCCTCTTTTGTGATTCTGAAGTACAATCAATGTTGGTCATATCCTGCAAACACTATTAAATGATGCATTTCACTAAAAGTTTTTAGAGGAGATGGAGACCATAGACATCATATACTGTGTAGCATTTCATACCTAGAATAATTTTATTTTTTAAAAAAGTCTTTCCTCTTACCCCTTTCTCCTCCTAGATCCCCCTAGGCAGGTTACAAACTTCACCTTCCAGACCCCTTCTGCACCCTCCAACCTCTTTCTCTTCTCCTGTTTTCCTGTAGCTCTAGATTCCTTTTCTCATGTAATGCAATATGGCTCTACCTCAGCTTCCCCAGCCTACCTCTTCACAGTTCTTATCATCATGCTTAACAAATAAAACCCACCCTATTTGCCTATCTTCCTTAGAAAGTGGCAAAACATTACATTCAATAAATAGTTTTTCTTCCTATGATGCTTATCAATATGGGTTATTTTTCCAATAGACTAGAATCTCATGCCTAAACATGAGAACATTTATCTAGCACCTACTAAGACCAAGCCATATTATGCTCCATGCTTTTTATGACTCTATCTTACACTTGCTATAAAATATGCCAAGACCTGACATATTGCCAGCATGGAGCAAGAATAAAAAAATATGTTGATAAATTGATTTCTATCAGACCCAATAATCTTTCAACAGTACCAAGAATGAAAGATTTAAACTAATAAGATACATATTGTTACACTGAATAAATAAATCTACTATATAAAATTTTAAAGATTCCTAATATGAACAAATTTTTTAATAAGTCTTTACCTGCCTTTTAGTAGATTGGGCTACTAAGCTTTCAAAATTATAAATAAGTTCTTTATGTAAGTTTTTGGACTTGGGATGTGACTCAGTGTTAGAGCACCTGCCTAGCATGTGAGAAGCCTTGGGCCTGATCTCCAGCACTGCAAAAGTAAGTGAGTAAAAAACAAATAAACAAATAATCTCCCAGTAAGAAAAAATGTTCAACTTCTACCAAGAATAAAATAAAATTAAGTGGTATTTTATGACACCATAATCTCACTAATAGAAGAAGAAACACGAATTAAAGGATATGTTCACGTTTGTAAATTACATTAATACTTTAAAAAGTATTAATGTCAGGAAAGGTGTAATGAAGCAAGGATGTTACTGAGCATGGTGGCACATGCCTACAATCCCAGCAACTCAGGAGGCCGAGGCAGGAGGATCATAAGTTTGAGACTAGCCTGGTCAACTTAGCAAGACCCTGTTTCAAAATAAAAAATAAAAGGGGCTGGGGATATACCTTATTGGAAAAGTCCCCTGAGTTCAATCCCCAGTAAAAGAAAGAAAGAAAAAAAAAAAGAAATGTCCATTCAGTGCTAAAAATGGGATATAAATAAAAGTATCCCCTTTGGAAAGCAATGGGGGAATGCATATATAAGACCCTCCTAAGATATTTATATCATTATTTTTGACATTAACAACTATTAAGAATGTATTTTGAGAAAATAATATTTAAAAATGTATGAACAAAGATTTCCACTGCAGTACTGCTTCCAAATAGTAACATTAAAAAACAACCTTAACATAAAACAATGGAAGTATGATTAAATAAACAAATCAATATTATACAGGACCCTAAAAGCCTGATAATAGTTTGAGATGATATAAAATCCTTGTTAAAATGTTAATTGAAAGATTGGAATGCAAAATTTTATATATATACACTCACATACACATATAGTCATTATGAATGTATAAAACTATCCATAGAAAACAATACTGTGGATATCTTCATGTCTTAGAACAAAGGATAATTTTCCAATTGGTTTATATTTTGACTTTTTTGTAGTAGGCTTACATTATTTATAATCAGAATAATAAAAAGTGTTTTTGAGTTGGTACATACAATTGGTTCAGAATCACCGACTAATCCTCACAACATTCTGAATACTCCCTGTTAATAGATTCCTTTCAGCTGAATTGTTACCAAGAGCCCTTGGATAGTTTCCCAAACCAGTTAATGCTCATTGCACCAAGGACTGATATATTGTAAGGTGGTAAAACATCACGTAAATGAATGAAATGTGAGTATGAAAAGTCACTTCTACAAAAAGACACATTGAAGGTACATTGCTAAAAGAAGGGTTGCAATTAGTTGTGGGAAGGTGGTATTACAAAACTTTTGGGAAAATTTATAAAAATCTAGAACAGTTTTGCATTCAGATTGTCATACAAATGTCTTTAATTTTTTCACTTTTAAGAACAAGAAACAAAAACTGGATACCATCTATGATATAATTTAAGTGTGATTTGTGCAAGCAAGTTGAAGAGATCCTTAGTTAATACACTTACATTCAAGGTAAAGGTCTCTTTTTTCTACCATAAATGTGACATTCAAGTATCTATTCATATGTTTCAAGCAAAAGTAAAACTCCAAAATTTTGTGTGCTTGTATCAATCTTGTAACTAAACCACAAATTATTGGTCCTTACTGGTCAGATAAGAGGGTCACTGTTGCATACAGTGTGTACACACAGAGTTACTTCTAGTCATACATGTAAGTTATAATTTGTTTAAGAAACCATGTTATGCATATACTTATAAGTAAATGTATATGTATGAATATAAAGACATATTTGCATATACATGTATATATGCATGTGTCTGCTTTCACCCACACACTATTTATATACCATGAAATTAACCACTCTACTGCTTGACCAAATCATGCATTCATGCAGTAGACCTTTCATAAGTAGGTAATTTAGCAAACTCAAAGTGTGAAATTAAACTTGGTGACAATGACCGTGGTGCGTGTAGGCACCATAGTTCTGGTTGAAAGCATCATGTTTAACTTACTGTTCCTTTGTCCTTATCAGCAATGGCCAGAGCCAAAGAATTTCTTGTTCAGCCACCTTAAGATTCACTTTCTGGGGGAGCTCAAGTACCTAAACCTAAAGCACTTAGCCCAGAAGCACTATTTACAACCAACTCAGAAGTTTGCCTAGAAAGTCTTCACTTAGTCCAACTCGGTCAAGCTCCTTCTTCTTCACATCAGGCCAGAAAAGACGGGCTAAAGGAGATCAGAAGTCCCAAATAAAGAAGGAAATTGTTCTTGTTGAAAAACAGATAAAAGCATTTTGTTTTGATGAATGGACATATTTTCAGTATTCTCCTTTGCTGGAAAGATATAAAAATAATGGCATACAGGGTGGTGTTACGCTGGTGAGTGACAGAGAGTGAAAACACGTTCTAAGGGAGGTGCTGATAAATAGTTAAGTCTGAATTCAAATGTTTGCCCTTTGCTTTCCATCTCCATGATCTTGTACAACTTACCTCATATCTCCAAAACTTATTTCCTCATCTTAAAAATGAGAAAACTATGACCATCCTCATGAGACAACTATGAAATTAACCAAAATCACTTATAATCCCTGGCACATTTGTTGGGTGGGAGATCAAAATATTCATTTCTCCTTCTACTCAAGTTTTGGTGTCTTAATCAGGAATAGGATTCTTTGAGGATCCAGAGGGAAAATGTAGATCAGAAGGTCTGGTCCAGTTTTGACACAGGATAATCGCCTTCTCTTTAAAACACTTTTTTATAATTCATTTTTAAAATAAGCAATGGAAAATATTTACAGATAATTTTGTGTCCAAATTTTTTTGTAATCTTTATGTCATTGAGAATGCATTCTATTAGTAATATGTATTTCTCTATTCCTCTCTCTCTCTCTCTCACACACACACACACGCACACACACGTTCCAAGTGAAAAGTAAGGCTTACCTGCAGTTCCAGAGAGTTCCACACTTAAGGTTCGTTCAATAGTCTTGTTCTCAAATGGGGAACCCTTGGGGTCACTGGAAGATATGGCACATTTATAAAAACAAACTGAAATGGAGTTGCTGTAGCCAAATGTATTAGAACCCCCTTCCCTTTCTGAAAATGGTTACATTTCTTAATACTTACTTTGGTGACTCTGGGGTCAAAGGAAGAGATAAAGTTGTTGGTTTGGCTAAAGGAGAAAAAAAGAACTAATTATGAAATATGGAGTATTTTTTAGATTTATTTTCTTTCTACTACAGTCAGGTTAGAAACATGACCGGAAAATTGGAAAGCTGAACTAAGGGAATCCCTGAAAACTGGATCAAAGTCAGAGAACAGTCCATTATGCTAAAACAAATTCCAAACAACATTTGCATCAGTAAACTATCATTTGAAAACACATACAAAACCAGAATTTTTCCCAAAATGTACCATCCTGTTAAGAATACAAAATTTGCATCATACCATCAGAGAGAAATAATACTTTCTGTTTTAATTTGGAATACAGTACATGGTTTGTTTAGACAAAAAAAAAAAAAAAAAAAAAACAGCAGAGTAACTACAAGGTGACAGAACGTTATGAATATTCAGTTGATTTTACTCCTAAAATGTATAATTTTATATCTAGCCCTGAGAATAGGTTATTTCTATGAGGCTGAAGCTCAAGCAATAACCGTTCCATTCACTGAAAATTAATTGAGCGATTATGGCAAATTGTGGGCATTGACCCAGATGGCTTAAATGGAGTTTGGAACCCCAACTCCAATAGACAACTGAAGTTAGATATTGTGTTTATCAGTTGAGAGATCCATAGACTTGCAAAGAGAGCTCTCCAATTTCTTTCAGTCTTTCCTAAGTCCTATTTCCTATAGAAGGCATATCCCAATAATGAGAAGGAAGTGGGTAGGAGTCTTCTCATCACAAAATCTCCATGTCAGTCTTATATTCTGAACAGAAATAGGGAACATGTGATGAGAAATGTACTTGAGCTAGACATCCAAGTTTCATTTGTACTTAAGCTCTTCTATGGAGATACACTTGCATGTATACAAGTCTATATCAACATTTTTCTCATCAAGCAACTACTTTCAGAAGGTCAAAAGTAGTTATTTATGCAATGAAAATCATGAAGTTGAAACCAAAAGTGTCTTTATAATAAACTTTCTTATTTTATGGATGAAGAAACTGACACCCAACGATGCTAAATGATATTTGCAGGGCCATAAAACTAGTTCCTGGCAGAACTGGTCAAGATGTTTTCTTTCTCCTGTTATCAAAAGGAATTACATTCAACAGACTTTCAAATAAATTAATCAAAGCCAGTAATTAAGGTCCTTTGAAATGGGAAAATATTATTTATGTCCAAATTAGCCTGAAATTAGGTGCTTTACTTGGATAAATAGTATTTACATATTTAATTTGTAGATTTAGATTTAGTTTTTAAACAATCAAATGGTATATTATCTATCTGATGTGCATCCAGAAATATGAAGCTCATGCTGTCTTCTACAAATTAGGCACATCGATTAATTGGCTTTTACATATATACAGATAAATGAACTGATTTCACATTAATTTTTGAGTATGTCTAATTTAATGAGCCTTTCAAAAATAACTCATTTATGAAGGAACTTTGCCCACTTTTATGATGTTCAACTAAGAACTAGGATAATTCATACAGGTTCCATAGAAAATATAACCAGATAAGGAACTACATGCTGTTTGACACAATAAATGTACATTGAAAATCAGAAACTGAATTCCAGTTTCGAGATGTAGTCAGACTCTGAAATGCTCAAGGGAAGACCCCTACAGTTGCGGTAGTTGTGCATAGCTAAGGCCAAGGGCAAGGGAGGAAAGAAGATGAATCAGCATCAGTCATATTTAATAGGACCAATGGCAAAAAAGAAATTAGAACTATAGGAGAAGTGCAGTCCCTAAACCATATTCAGCACTTAATCCTCAAATCAACCAGGCTCCTATACTCAAAGAGAATTGGTTTGGTTTACTGGGAGTTTAATGGACAATGTTTCAAGGACTGGTAAACTAGAGACTGCTGGGGTCCTTAAGGACAGGAATGCCTCTTTTTCATGTAGATGATGCTTTTTGGATAAACACATTAGGGAATGAATGAATAAATGGGACACCAACACATACCAAAGACCAGTGGATCATCCTAAGGAACTGAAAAGTACATGACCCCACAATATTACAGAGAGCACACGTGAAGTTCAGGGGAAAAAATTTATAGCACATTTGGAAAGGGGATCTCAGCATATCCTCTTCAATAGAGTCTTCAACTGTTCATGTACATTTTACTTCTTGATTTAACGACTTAATCTCTGAAGCTGAGCATTTATTGGTTATTAATAGTCAGCCATGTTTATTTCTTTTAGGCCTTTAATAAATAGAATTGTATTCCCTTAGTAACAGGAATTTTTTCTTTTTTAACCAATGGGTTTTATTCTGGGATAAGATTTTATGCTTTGCCACAGACACATACCTTAACAAAATCCACATGTAACTGGTCTTGCCTAGAGAATAAATCCTCCAGAGGCCTATTTAATTTCTTACTACCATGATCTGTAAGTTTACAGTGATTAATATTAGTGGATGTGGACTTATAAAAACCTCAAAATCTAAAAGGATCAGCTTAAAAAAAAAGGTACAAAGACTTTTAAGCCATGTGCTGCTGGGCTGGGTTCACTGATCACAGGATTTTAGGGAGCTCAGGACTTCAAGTTCAGCTTCAGAAAACCAATGTCTGAATGACAAGGTGCAGAGAAGCACAGCAAACTCTTCTGCTCACTTTCTATAGCTACCCCAAAGGTTACCCTTCCCTGTAGGCCTGCAGCAGAATGGGCCGCTTAGCATGGGGGTTCTGTCCCCCCCCAAAAAATAACTGTGACAGAGCTTGCCATCAGGAGCTAATCTGCACAAAGGGAGCTGTAAGGGAACTTGGCCCACATCATTAATATATATCTCTCCAAACCGACAGAAGATGGACAATGAACTTGACATATCCACCACAGAAAACCCAATGGAGAGCCAATTAGAATATTAAAGGGAAGTTCCTAAAAATCTTGTGCTGATGTGGAGGAGATGAAGGGAGGGGATTCAAAACAGTGGGGAAGAAAATACTTATGAATATCAGCAGCAACAACAGCATACCTGTATGAAACAATCATGGTTCAAAACAGGGATCAGGGACTATCATTCTGCAGCTAGAAGGAGAAGTTGGAGAAACAAAAGGAAAAAAAAACAGGTGGGTGTTTATAATGGTTATTTTAGAATATGCCTCCTTCTAGATAATGTTAGAAGTAGAGCAGGAACTGGCTTATTTTAAACAGCGGTCACTCACAAGGAGCTCTCTTTGGGCCTCCTGGACTACAACATTTTGAGGGGGAAGAACCAAAGAAGAAAATTATATGTTTGTCAAGAGATTTTCCCCAAATAACCCCAATTGACACTGGAAGCATCAGCTTTCTAGCAATGTATGGAAATAATAAAAATCAACCCAGAAGTTTTGTTTAATCTAGGCAATTTAAAAAAAAAAATGAGCAAAAAAAAAAAAGACAATTTTAGGAATTTCTAAATCCTTACATACAATATAAAATCTGTAAGCACAGCATGTGGTGTATAAATGAAGAAGAAAAGAAAAATGCACTTAATGAGGAGAGGCTACATAAATAGTGTTTACTACTTCTTAAGGTATAGAGAGTAAATCTATAGCGACTCGGTTTTTCCATTACCCAAAGGGAAAAAATAAAAGCTCTTTAATGAGTGGGCCAGCCTGGATCACACCTAACTTCTACCATCTCAGCGATTCAGAGATTCCCCTAAGCCTCAAGGATGTCGCAATTCCTTCCCACTCTGCTTTACCCGCCACCCAGCTATAATTTCAGGGATCTTTTGGTAGTTGCAGCTACTGCCTATCAGCGGAATAGGATATGCTCAATCTGTGTCCAAGCAAGGGTTTTCTTCCCCTCGGTAATAAACTGCTGAATTCTCTTTCCACGAAGACACCCACGGGACCGAGCGCGCAATCAGCGCTCAGACCTGGAGTCTTTACTGAGCTGCGTCCGACACCGCGCGGGGGCCCGCCTACCTTGTACATGTTGCGACTGCGATTGTGTGTGGGACTTCTTTTTGGAGGTGCATTTGTCTCTGCTGCTGTTCCTGTTCTCTGTGGGTTTGGTGTGAGGAGGGTCATCGTTTGTGGTCAGATACTTGAGAAGCTCCGAGCATGGACGTCTTTGTGGCTTTTGCTGTTGACAAATGCTCTTCGCTTTATTGCTCCATGAATTCTCGGTCTTAAAAACAAGGCAGAGAGAAAGCTAAAATTAGTGAACTGAACCTTATCAGAATGGATATAGGTTTTCTGAAGAGATGAGATTTCCAGTGAAGTGTTCAGTCTAAGTGTACTAGATCTATGAGCTGTGAATAATTGTTTGCAGAACAAGGAAAGAAAATTACATTTAAAATTCCTAAATGACATTTATGCAGCTTTTTATTTCATTTCTCCTACATTTCAATGTTCCTACTCAGCAACATGTAACTAACAAGACCCTACAGCGCCTTTACTGTGAATAAAAAAAAAAAGTAAGCTGGTTTAAACCTTAATTTACAGCTGATTGCTGAAGCCCAGTATTCACAACTCTCTTAAGTACCCCTTAACGCTCCGTTTTCACTCACAGTGAATGGCAAGACAAACATTGTTTAATACAGCGAGCATTCCATCCAATTAATGACAGAGACAGATCTTTTGCAGCGATTCCAAAGAAATGTTTCTCAGGTTAGACAGCTGGCAAAACAGCCACCCTGCATCTTAAAGTCACTCATAGGCAACTACAGCCAGTCGGCACATGTTCTTGGAGTCTGGACTGCTATAGTATTCATAAAGTGAGCAAGGGATCACACTCTGTTGTATTTCCATTCCAATCATCCAAAGCCAAGGCCAAAACAAACTCTTTCGAGTTTTAAGTAGCTCCAATGCTGCTTCTGGAAACCCATTTCATAATCTTTGTCACATCTATGAGGTGGCTGCAGGACCCGGTTGAATTAATATATACAAACTTAGGGGCTGTTTCTCAGCTTTAAGCAACAACATGTTGCTTATTATCCCCTGTTGTATTAAAACATTTATGTTGGTACCTTAACAACTGCAGGGCTTGTTCTGATCCTGTGATTGTGGTTTGCATGATTCTGGGTACTGAGGCCACTGCATTCATTATAACTCAGCTGAGTGTTGGCCGGTGCCAGCAGGAGCTTCTTAAGCTGGGAACATCAGGGAAGGAAAGAGAAGGCAGTTATGGATCTGTTACACACTCAAATCAGCAAGTGAAATTTTAGACTTTAATTCATTATCATTACAAAAATTAATTCTACCACTCTTTAATTCTATCACCCCTGACCACAATAGTGCTCAAGGAAACATTTTTTAAAAAGTGAAGAAAAAGTTTGGCATTGTACTACCAACCGTGAAAGTAGTTCCTTTGCCTCCGTTTGAGACTTGGCATTGTTCAGAATTTTTAAAATTATTTTTTGATATCATAAAGCAGTTGTTCCTAAAGTGATTTCCAAAGCACTACTATGAGTTAAGCAATGCTGCTTTGCTCAATGAGGACTTGGGCGTAAGAATCAGATACACAATTTTCCTCTAAAACTCAAATCAATCAAGTGGCAATACATGAAAGATAGTGTGATGCTTTTAACAGGTTTCACAAGCAACCCTCCAGATTGACTGACTCACAGAATGTTTGGACGGAAATAGTGGCTATCCTGATCTCAGAAGGGAAAGGAAGGACATGTGAGCCGAGTTCTGTAGGTCATCATGTAGGTTGGAAGACGAGGGCTCTGATACAGACAAGGCTGTCCTCCATGTGTTTCTGCATTTGCCTGGATGACTCTCAAGCATCTCCCTGCCCTTATACACAGGATGTCTTTGGGCCAGCAACCCACCTCCCAAGTTGAATAAATGGTGCAGATGAAAATCATCTGGTTATCAATATAAAAAATCAGAGTATTAAACAGTAAAGCTAATGACACTAGAAGTGGAGAAAAGGCAAAATTAAACAAGAGGCTATTACATATGAGATATTCTCAAGACCAAAAATCTCAAAATAGAAAGGAATACAAGTATGGTCCCCATGTTTATTCTTTCAGCATTTTAAAACCTAGAGATGTGATAAAACTATGCCTCCAAATGGTGTACCCAAAGCATGTTACTAGAGTCTGGATGCTGGCGTTTCATAATTTACACAGCATGCTCTTACATCAGATTTATGGCAAATGACAAATGGCTACCATAGCTGAGAAGGTAAACTGTGTCTTAGAACTAATAAAACTCTGGTCTAGCACTGCATTGAAAAGAAAATTCACTCTTCATTGCCTACCATAAATTTTAAGTAACTTAGGTTGCAAATGTGCTATTATTTTTCCAATCTTCATAAGAAATATGAACCCAGCGTCTTCAAATATTGCATACCCCTAGATCCAACAACTCTATTTCTAGAATTGTATGCAGAAGAATAAAAATGCAAGCATGTCAATTATTATACAATTCATAATATTGAAAAATAGGAAGCAAAAGCCTAAATATCCAACCATAAGTAATTACATAATAAATTACATTCCCATACAATAAAATACTATGAGACCACTAAAAATTATGCATATACTTAAAATTTTACCAACATGTTCATGGTATATCTTAAATCAAAGGAGAATCCAATCATTTTTTTATGCAATAGGTTTTTGGAAATCACAGATGAACTTTTAGTCCTTTTTAGTCTACTTTTTTCAAGTTTTCACCGTGAAGTAAATACTAAGAAATAAAAACATGCACATGTAAACAGCAAAAAAAAAAAATATATATATTTGATATATCTGTATTTATCTATATCTATAATTTTGCAGTTCTAGGGATCAAACCCAGCACCGCCTGCAGGCTAGGCAAGTGCTGTAACACTGAGCTACATCCTCAGCTTGAATGGTGGTTTTAAAAATACTTCAAATACTACATAAAAACTGAATTATCAAGACTTTTAAACAGAGAATGGCAGAATGTGCGACTATGAGTGTGCCTCAGGATTGTTTTGGCATCAGTCTAAAATCCAAACCTTCTACATCATGCCCATGCAGCAGGTAGCCAGAGGCGGCTCGTGGGAGTCGAACAGTAGGAAGGGTTCTTACTAGAGACGGCTCTTCTGCCTCCTGAGGTGGAGGGGTGCCGTCAGGCATGGAGGAAGGACTGGCCTCGTTGTCAGTGGTCACGTCTCCATCTGTCAGTGCATCAAATGAGGGCAATCCGTCTTCATCCACAGGGAGACTGTCTAGTGTCTCTGTGAGGACTGCAAGCAAGTTTGCCTCATTTTCTTCATCTATCTTCTGGAAAAGCAGAGAAGAAGGTGGAAGAAGACAGGAGTGAGTTGACATTGGGAGGTGGGTAGCACTATTAATCAGCACGGGCTGCACACGCTCAACAGAATGAGTAAACTGTATGTGGAATTCTGCACCCTCGCCAGGACAGGACGACCGTGGCTTCCCCGGGCTCCTGACTCATATTGGGTCTGAACCACATGCTTAATGAACACCTCTGCAGTACTGGTCTCTGATTGCTGACTGTCCAGCTTAGCAGCCTGTATGTCAGCGCTTGATTCAGCTGTGGGTGATTCTGTGTCGTTCACCTTTCCACAGACTTGTGTCTTTGTCTTCTAACTCAATGGTAAGATTTAGGAAATCTGAGGGCTGAAGAGAATCTTAATCATCCTCTATTTAATCTGCGGATGAGGTGTTTAGATCTCCTATACAGCACCCTCGCAAATGTTTAGATAACCTTCCATTTGAACACTGCCAGAAACTTAAAACGATACCAGGAGAATCTACACACTTTCCTGATTTCAATTATAATCTCATCACTGAACACTCTGAAATCATTTATTTCTCTCCCTGACATCTCTCCCAACTTTAGTCATAAATCTCTAACTGCCTACTGGACATTTCTACTTTACAATAGCTCCCTCATCTTCAAAACCCAAACTTTGGACCTTTATCACAACAAAGCTGCTATTTCTCCTGAATTCTTTAGTTTGGATAACAATACCCCAAATTTAAATTCTGCAACTACCTCAATCCCTCTTTTTCGGATTGGTTACTAGGTGGAATCTTATTTTGTAATGACTTAAATGCACTCTTTTTCTTGTAGCCAGGGTAGTATTCTTTCCCACCTCCCAGATTCAGTTTCACCAAAACACCTATTGAAAACTAATCTTCAGTCATTGATTCCACAGACATGTTTGGAACACCTTATTTTGTGCCACAGCCAGTGGAGGGGGTAGAGATACAAAGAGAAATAAGACAAAACTCTGTCCTTCCAAGAACCCTCCAGTGGAAAGGAAGAACATGTGAAAAATTGATTATAAAAGGAGAGTACTAACTTCAGTCCATGTAGAAAAACATTCAAGGACTCCCAACCTGGGATTGTGAACCTTGCTAACAAGAGAACGTGTTAAGTTCTATGCACCTGGACAATCAGTTCCAGGGCTGGGCACAAAGTCTAGATAGTCAATGATTACTTTCTGAATAATTCATTGATCTGCATTGTTTTGCCAACAATATAGTCTGTGTGGATCACTTTCTTTTCCTTCTTTTAGCACTTTATATTGTTTGTCTAATTTGACTGGCTTCCAAAGTCCTTTTTCTAAAAGTTTGGTTCGCTATGACATTAACAATATGTGCTAAATTATCCCACACAGATTCTATTACAAAATGCACCTAAGCTGCTGACATCTAATGAAGCCAGCAGTGCCCACACTTCCTTTCTCTCTAGCACTGAACTCCAGTTAATTGACCTGACAAAATTACAAGAATCACAGAATAAGACAGCTAATCAGAAAATCAAATTGTATTACTAAAGAAATTAGGCAGGGTTTTATCACATATACATTCTATTTTCACATAAAAATTGTTTTCCCTCATTACTAATCAGTCTCTATCCGGGAGTAAAACTATAGGCTTCTTTTTCTTTTGGACTCAAGAGGCCCAAAAGAGCCATTTGTACTCATGGTGGATATCAGTGCACATTTTTACATTTGCTAAATGCATCTCCCTGCTACTCCTAGATTTGAGATTGTGAGTCAAGTACTTTGGACACCATGTGGCGTGACCACTGAATGAAGCTTAGACGCCACTGAAGAAGGTCAGTCCTGACCAGAAGTGAATTATCAACTTCAAAATGGCACACTTACTTCCACTTACTGACCAATTCAGTAGCATCCAAACTGCTCAATTCAAAACAGAGCTTATTGAACACGGCCATCCCCGGTTCTCCTATCCCTATCTGTGTAGCCCTAATAATAAAGGTAGGGAAAGATTTTCTCCTTATTTTCTGCAGAGAATTATACTCTGATATCCAAAAACGTCAGTCACATTCCTCTTTAGGTTCCCACATATGCAAACAGTCAAATTCAGACTATTAAACTATTCTAAATATAATTATATTTAAATAAAATATACACTATTTAAAATCATCACAAACTCATGAAATAATGACTATAAATTTCTCCATATTATCTCCATAAAATATTCTTTGAAACTGTGTCAAATACACATGTGCACACAGACACATACACACATTTTCAGTAAACTGAACTTTTCTCCAGGTATGCCATGATTCGAAAAGGCTTCTTTAACTGAAGTTCAAAAAAGAACGCAAGAAAAACAGTTAAAAATGTTTACCAATAAATGAGTAATTTTGTTTACCCTGATTTAAATTTTGTGTTTGGCTTTCCGGCAATATCACAAGCTGCTATTTGCTTTCAATCACATAATACAATAGTGCCTTAGTTCTATCCCTTGTGTAAACAAACTATGATAATTCCAATCAAGTCAAAATGACAAAGAACACTTAAATTAACTAGTTTTCTCCAATTTCTTTAATAAGCCTGAGTGAATGTACACCAAATACAATGGCAAAAATATTGGAGGTTGATAATGTCATAATTAATTTACAAGATCTGATTAAACCACCAACTACTTTAATTTTCCTCTCTACTGGAACCACAATGGGAGGAGGTGGGTGTTGGGGGGTGGGGGATTGACATGACAGGCATGTGAGTGTGTGTGAGCAGGCATGCACACTCATGTGGGCAGGGAGGGCTTGTAGTCAATCAATGTGTACCAGTAGGTCTGTGTTCATTATTTATAGTCAGTGTCCACTCAATGTAATTGTTAAATATTTTTATTATCATCCCTGAATGTGAGTGGCTCAGAGATGCTCAAAGACCATTTATTGTAGTAACGTTCTTTTTGAATTAAGGAAGAAAAAAATATTATTATTTCAAATTCTCTCTATGTTCTTTAATCATGGAGTTCTGGGAAGAAATCTTGCTATTTATTGATGATTTTGTGTCAAAGCTCAACACAAACACAACAACAACACAAAGTTGAGTGGACGCTGCCCCTCACTGTGGCAATTTCAATTAGTTTCATATGAGATTCAACAATCACATGTCCCAGACAAGGCAATGGATATGACAAAGAGGACTCTGTTAAACAATTAATGTCACTTTCTATTATTGCTTCAGTCCCAATTTACAGAGCAAATAAATCAAAGTCGCCATAGATGAGGTGCACTGGCCTATGAACACATGTCTGTTCACAAATGACAGGGTATGGAAAGACAGTAGTCAGTAAAAGGACATCGCAAGGTAACCTTTCAAAGACTTGGCTGTTGATACTGCTCACTAATTCTTTGAAATTAGAAATTTATAAAAAATATGTTTCTTGTGTGCAAGTTGAAAAATAAGAGAAAGGAAAGCAGAGGGGCAAGGAAAGAAGTGAGGATCAACCTCTCCACAACCTAGCTCCATCTTGGCGCTGGCAGCAGAAGTAGAAGGCAAGAGAGGAAAACTGGCCAACAGATGTCCCCACTGCTGAGCTCCTCAGCTATGGAGTAGCATTGCCTATGGTGGGGGGGTGTCCAACCTTGGCTTCTCCTTACACAATGCTATTCTTCTGCTGTTCTTCCAACCTAAACCAAGGTCTCTGTGCCTGTAAAACTTCACTCTCCATGGGCTCTCCAGGAAGAAAGAAGGCACATCTACACAACCTCCCTCCAGGTACAAAGAATCTCCAGTGACAGATGATGCACAGGCATTTATACCCACAACCCAAAGTGTAGAATCCACAATGATTCCAACCCCATGCCACATCATCAATAAATGAGAGCTTAGAGCAGTCAACAGAATCTGAAGGCTCAGCACTGCTCTTTGGGACTGCTGGGTTTCCATATGACCTGGATTAGGTCTGACATGATTCAAAAGGTACAATTGAAAGAAAGTGGACAGTGCTCCTTTGGGTGTCCACAATCACTTTCAGATTACAGTGCTGGAGCTGTTGTATGATAACACGAACTTCCTCTTTTGTGGAGAGGTGACAAAAAGACTGTCCAACTGGTTTGCATGGGCCAGGCCGTCCAACTCACCCAACTCCATACCCCAGAGAGCAGATAAAGCCACTGAATCAAGGAGGAGATGAGGGACTTGGGGATGCTAACTGACCCTGAGGGCAGCAGCACAGAGTGAAAACTGCATGTGGTATCCCAAAGATTTTTAAATGTGGCCTGTTATGGAAGGACCCTGCCCTGCTTATGGTAGTAATTTTTATCTGCATCTTGTAGAATTGCAATTACACTCAGCGTCCCCAGATTCTCACACTCGCTTGATCTCTGTTTGATAAAAATAGTTTAATAGCCATTTAATCACAGCTTCATTATCTTAGCTCTCTTAATGCGAATTAGGCCAGGAGAATTCTTGCTACCTCATTATTCAAATCATCAATAAGAAGGAAACAGGGGGGTCTTCTTATCATTCATTAATCAGTTTCAGTTTCTTCTTAGGTACTGTTTACTCAGAGACCAATCTGTGTGAGGGGTCACTTAGCCTCTCTGAGCCTCTATTTTTTTTCTATACAAAATTTCCAGGGTTTTTTTAATTATTTTTTTTTTTTTTTTGTTTTTTTTTTTTGGGGGGGGGATTTTTTGCCTAATTCCCATTATGGAATTTTTTTTGGATTAATGATTAATAGGATAAAAAACGAGCTGATAAACCCTGAGAATTCTTCAAGACGGTGTTCATACACATTCCAGTGTACATGCCCATCATCTTGAGTTCCCGCACTTGAATTTCATTCCTTGAGTAAAAGATCTACTGCCGACTTTTAGCTCTGGGCCACCTTCCCCCAAATACCCAGCATGCCCTGGGCTTCCTCCTTGCCCTATCCTGCTGATTTGGAAACAGCTAATGAAGACAAAATTAACTTCTACTTTAAGTGAGGCCTAATTAGGAAGGGAAATCTGCTAGAGTAACATCTGGTAGTGTATTCCAAAG